ATCCCCCAGTTCAGAAGAGGTGGGAAACTGTTCAGAGAGTTAGGGAGAGCTGCAGTTTAACCAGTTTGAGGGCCATGGGTGGAGGGGAGCTGATGCACCATCCTTCAACGGAAAATAATGAACCCACCAAGGAAGAGGGGCAGCATGACATTGGCAGCTGAGACTGGTAAGTGACAAGCAGAGATGGTAGCCCCTTGCTCACAGAGCCAGTAGGCGATGGGAATTGAGGGAAATGGGAGAGTGGTCCATTCCAAAATTGTTTTGGTCTCCCTAGTATCTTTGGGGAGGCTAGCCAGGAGGATGTTTGTGCTTTCCATGCCGCTGTGGGTGAAGTCAGAGATCCTTCCTCTAAGCCATTTCAGTGTCTCTGTGTTGGAGTTGTTCACCCCCGACATGGCCTTGAACTGTAGGAGTCTCTCAATGGAGGAAATTATAGTTATTTATAATTACGGGGAGAAAAAATTTTCCTAGTGTCAAGGGAACAGCAGGCGACAGCCAGAAAAACATCATGTCTCCAGAAGAGAGGCGGCAGGAATATCCCTCTGAACATGACTGACGTCAGCTCCCGGAATTTGGATGGCTCGTGAGGGTTTGGGGCTGTTTTTCCAAGATATCATAGGTTAGGAATCAACATTATTTTTAAAGTCTGTGTCCCCCGAGCAGCTCTTATGCGTGAGGGAGCTTTCCTCCCCTCTTTTTCTATTAAGTTTTTTTTTGCTTCTGTTTCTTCCAAGTCCTGCCACAAAAATGTCCAACAGGTCTATTTTCATATCCCTGTTTCTACTTCTCTCCCATTTCGGTTGGGTTGACAAGGTGGTGTCAATGTGGTGTGTGTCTGGGCAAGACAACATAGATTGGTTGAGTTGTCCTAACATTGTTGCTTCTAGTTGGGAGCTCTTGGTCTTTGTTATTTAAATGGTGAGGGAAATGTTTTCTGTGAATGCGGCTTGGCCATGGGAGCTGGTGGGAACTGGGTAAGAAATGGGACACTCTCATCCCCACCCTCGAAGACCACCAAGGAGCCCAGCTGAGATTTTCAAAAGTGAGGCATGATTTGGGGTGACTAGCTTTTGGGAACCCAACCTGAGATACTTCAGTGGAAAGATACTCTGCCGCTTCCTGAAAATCAGGTCGCTCTAAGGTGACTCAATTTGGAAAGCCCCAAAATGGAGGCACCCAAAATTGCTAGTTGCTTTTGAAAATCCAGACTATTTCAGATCCAATTAAAAAAGGTTTTAATTGAGGAGGAAAAAAGCTCTTCTGGTGTTTAACTCAGCATAGAGAAGTGGTTGCATTGCCCTCACAATATCTCCCTCCCATTTAACTTGCAAGTAGCCAGTTGCTAGGGGTGTGCATTGATTCGGATCACTGTCCCTGATTTGATTTGGCCAAATCCGAATCTGAAGATTCGATGCTGATTCGGAGAATCAGTGATTTGGAGACAGACCCAGCTTTCAATGTTTTTTCTACATACCTCAAAGTACCAGCACAGCTTGTGAATGCTGTGATGCTGGGGTGGATGGAGCATCCCACAGGAGCATGTGGGAGCCCTCCGTGTGCTTGGCGGTGAACCCAGAAGTGAACTGGAAGTACTTTTGGTCCACATCCAGGTCTGCTGGGGAGTGTGCTGGGGGCTCCCCCACGCCTTCCCTGCTTGGAGATTGGCTACAGGGGGACCCCAGGTGCCCCCCAGACCCAGGATGTACCAATCGCCAAGCCAGGGAGGAGGTGGGGGGGGGCCCAGCGCACTCCCCGGTGGACCCGGAAGTGAACCAGAAGTGCTTCTGGTCCACTTCTGGATCTGCTACCAAGCGCACTGGGGAGCCCCCCTGTGCTCCTGTGGGGCACTCCATGCGCCCCAGCATTGCAGTGTTCATGAGCCGCCTGCTACCTAGAGGTGTGTAGAAAAAACAGTTAAAGCTGTGTCTACATCTGAATCGCCGAATCTCTCTGAATCAATTCGGAGGGTTCCAATTCAATTCGGAGAGATTAAAGGGTCCTCTGATTCAATTCAGATTCGGAGATTCAGCCACCGAATTGGGCCGAATCTCTGCCAAATCGAATCAGGGACCAAAGCTTCGCACAGCTCTACCAGTTGCCTCTAAAAGAACATAAGAGGGAACATTTTCACCATTAATTGTGGTGCCAGCATTATTTTGCATATTTGTTCTTTAGTATTATACATTTTCATGATAGTTTGTCAGAAATCTGTTGCTGCAAGTCATTAGAGACAGGATCAAAGACCTTTTTGGAGTAAATGGGACTCTCCATTGATCAAGCCCAGTATACTTTGAGAGTCCCTGCTATGAGCTGAGATTAACTCCTCACAGTATTTCCTGGGCTATCAGGGTTTATGAACACATTAACAGCAACAGCTGTAGTATGTAATAAGAATGGGTTCCTGGCACTCATAGAACTGTCTTACACCTGAAAACCCTGCACTTAAAAAGGACTCATCATGATTATAGATTAGGTCCTGACTCCTCATTCATGCTGGGGAACATTTCACTTCACTAGTCTTACTTCATTGGTACTATTTGTGGATTAAAGTATCAGTCAGCATGAGTACATATGTTGGCATCTGGCTCATGAAGATGGAAAAACCAACATACAGAGAGGTGGGTGAAAGATTTGCCCAAGAGCAGACACTGAGTCCACACAAAGAAAGGGGTAGAACTAAGTCCCCTAGCTAGTAGTTTCTGCCTTAACCTTCCCTGTAGACATTGTGAAAGACTTTGAATTATCTTGTAGGCTGTGGTGAATGGACCCCCCACCATGAGTGCTGGCACTATCCTATTCATTTTGGGATAGCCATGGCCCTTCTTTCTTTCCCCAAATTACACCCCAAAAGCCCTTGATTATCTAAAGAGTCTTCAAAAATGGATGACTTAGGTACTCCCCTCCCTCCTTCCCATCCAAAGTTCTTCCACTCATTGCAGCTGTTTAGTCCCTGGACTGGTTGTAAAATGCATACCTCAGAGGAAAGGCTGCCAGCAGCTTTGGCATGTGTCCTTCCCTATAAAACAGTCCTTGGCAGAGCTCTTTCCAGAGTCACAGCTTACCTTGCCTTTTCCATTTAGGGCACCTCAAGAGGTGAGACTTTGTCTCTTGCACTTCTGTACCTCCCTGCTTATCACCACCGCTTCAGACTCTTCTCCTCTGTGAGGGTTTAGGGCCTGAGAAGCATAGACAGAGCCATGTGGGGGAGCTCTTGGTGCTCTCCCAGTTCTGTGGAGGCTGTGCCAGCAGGTTTCACCATTGCTAAGTTCATGTTTCCCTAGGTTTGGTTTATTATCTTATTAAGAGCCCAGCCCTGTTGGCACTGGATTTGGACCCAGCCCTTATATCTTTGTCCTGGGTGAGCACAACCCTCAGACCGACCACAACACCTGCCAGATGATAATAGGTGGATTTATTGATACAGAGTGATAACAAAAAAGCAACAATACAAACAATCCTATATCTACCAATCCCAGGACTGTCATCAGAGTTAAAGTACATCTGGTTAAGATGCAGGCTCCACTCTGAGGCTCTTTCTCTTAGGTGTCAGCAGTCTGGAGGTGGGATGCCAAGGCCCACAGCCCCCCTCCAGTGGGGTTCATGAGACGGGCTTCTGGTATGCCCTCGACCCATGGTGGCCTTGGGGACCCTTCCTGGGGGACAGAGATGGGGATGGGGACCCCTCTTGGGGAGGAGAAGGAGGAGGAACCCAGGTGGGGGATGAGAAGGAACAGGGAGGGACACTGTTATTCTCAAGTCTCTTCTTTTGTGTTCTCCTTCCCCCTTGATGACTCCTGATGACTCTTCATCTGTGGCTATCTCTGGTCGGGTGTCTCTCTGCGGTCACACGTCCACGTAGCCTTCTGGGCCTTCTCCTAATTTGTGCTGTTCCCCCAAAAGCAGGACTCAGGCACCCCTCTGCTCTGGGGCCTTGTAGTTGGTGTCACTTATCTCGTGTTATGGGACAGTATGGTACATACTTCCTTGGTTCCCAGGCTGTGCGTCCTGGTTGTGTTAGACAACTTGTCAGCCTTGAAGGCTGTGATCTTGTGTTATGGCATGCCTCCCCTCAATTCTCAGGCTGTGTCCATTGGTTGGCCTTGTTGTGCTGGACAGCCTGTCTGCTTCCAGGGCTGTCTGGAACAATGGGTGTGAAGCCCAGGCTCTTACAAATCAGTTAACCCCTGCTGCTCATCTTGAACCCTTATAATGCATATATCTATACCTATAAGCCAATTCCCAAAAACACAGGCCTTTAAATACTGTTTCTAAGCCAACAGGCTCTGCTTAACTCACTTAGTGTCCAGTTTGTAGCATGGCCAATAGCAGATACTTCAGATGGTGGCGATAAGATTCCCTATAAGAGTAACCTTGCATCTAGCTCTTGCACAGTTGGCTAGGAAGAGGGTTGACAGCATAACCCCCTTTCCAATCTAGCTTCTCCCTGTAGAGGTCAGGCATTGCTGCTGCCTTTGTGCCCTTTTGTTACCTGTTGTAAAGGAGGTTGGGAAGCTGGTGGAATCATGGTCAGGTCCACTCTGAACTGACCAGAAAAGCTGGCCAGGTGTAGAGGGACAGGCATGATCTCTTTGTGGGGCAGATGCTCTAGAAGGCTTTGAGCCTTCCTGAAACATGAGTCCTCTGAGAAGATCCTGGTGGAGTGGTGCAGCTTTGCATCATTCCTAGAACAGGCCAGCATGAGGCCTGACAGCCATTATGAGTTATATCTAAGTTGGTGTGACAGTGAGTGCCATGCCTGATCCTGTTGTCACCTCAATCCTCCAGAGATGGGCTTAGTGGTTTTGCAGTCTCCCTGCAATGAATGACAAAGAGGCTTCTGCAGAATTCTCACCTGCATTGTATTACCTCTTTGGCCGGCTGGCAGTCAGCTTGTCCACCCCAGCAGGCTCTATTTTGCACTTTCTTGTGCCATTTGAACAGCTCTGTTCTTCAGCCTCCATTGCTTGGGTGGATAATCAGAGAGCTAGCACACCGGGGACATGGAGCACAGGTATAAAAGTCCTAAGGCAGGGCAGCAGGGAGAGTTTGTCACTGAAGAAGGTAAATGTGGTAAGAATGGAGGGAGGGAGAAAAAGCAAGAATCTTCCTCCATGCTTGTTTCAAGGGGATTCTGGCCTTCTAAGGAGACTTGAGGCGACTTCCTAAAATAAGCTAGCATATAAGTACCTTTCCTCCTCACTTTTTTTAGAGCAGTCCCCTTTTCTATCTCTAGTGTTCCCCTTCTCTTTTCTCTATGTTACAGCCCCTTCCCTTTACCTTCTCTGAGGCAGTCTTTCCCTGTTCTCTCTCCCCTGGAGCCACTCATTTATTTCTCTTTCCATTTCTCTCCCTTCTCTTTTCACTCATCCTTAGGGTTTCCTTTTCCCCATTGTCCAAATGTACATGGCTACTCTAGGAGCAGAACTCCACTTTAAACTATGGAACTACCATGATTAACAAGAAAAAATTATATTTGCTTTATTGCAGCCTGCCCAAACCCTTCAACAAATATGCTGTGACACAGCTTTAAGGGAAGGAGTTTGCAATCTTGTGGGAAATCTCCATAGAATCATCCAAACTTTCTCAGACTTTCCTACTGTTTGTTGACCCTTACGGAAAGCTTGTGATGGGTTGTTCTCTAGGTCTGCTGCTATTATTGTTATTCATGCACGTTTCCTATGACACTGCCCTGCACCAGTCCAGCCCAGCTCTATTCCTTCCTGCTGCATTGATACTTTTGCTGACTGTCTCCCAACCCCTGTCCCTGCAGGGCCTACATGAGTGTGAAGGAGCTGAAGGAGGCGCTGCAGTTGAACAGCACACACTTCCTCAATGTCTACTTTGCCAGTTCAGTGCGGGAGGAGCTGGCTGGTGCTGCCACCTGGCCATGGGATAAAGAAGCCCTCAGCCCCCTGGGTAAGCCTGCTCCCTCATGTAACACTTGAGTCTGTGAGTCTCCCTATAGAGGATAGCTCCTAATTACTGCTCACAAAGGGGATGGAGAGGGCAGCGGGGACAGAGATCTGATTTTTGAAAGCCCATTGAAATCAATGGAATGGTTCTGATTGACCTCACTGGGCTTTGGAGCCAGGAATCATGCAAGCCACTCAGCTGGGAAGCTGTCACATTTGAGTCAACTGATCCCTCAAGAAGGGGGCAGAAGAGAGGAAGAAAGATGCTTTTTGCTAGAGGGCCTATGGAAAGGACCAGAAGAAAATTAACAGACGCATCAGGCAAAGTAAGAGACTCTGACTGTGGCGGTAACAACGGAGTTTGAGTATGTGCACAGAGGGAGGTTCAGGGTGCAGAATGTAAGGAGTAGACTTAACAGTGCCATCACAAGTCACGGGCCCACTGGGCATGGGATAATGCAGGACTTGGTCACCCAAGCACAACCATTGTGATGACCGTCATATAGTTTCATAGTTGGTAGGGTCGGAAGGGACCTGAGCAGATCATCAAGTCCGATCCCCTGCCATGGGCAGGAAACAATGCTGGGGTCAAACGACCCCAGCTAGGTGAATATCTAGCCTCCTTTTGAAGACCCCCAGGGTAGGAGCAAGCACCACTTCCCTTGATCAAATGCTTAGAGGCCCCCAATCAACACTATGTCCATGACCTCCAAAACCCTTAAGGCAGCCCTTGGGCTTAGGATGAAAGATGACTCTGTCCCAACTTGTTGCAATGAAGCCAAATAAAAGTTTTCAGAAGTTCAACAAAGTTCTTCAGCTTTTCTCCATTTGTGACCACAGAGTTATACATCTGATACATGCTCACATGGAGAGAACAAGATCAGAAGGAGGGTCCTGTTCCCTCCTGCATCTTAGTATTCACCACAATCAAATCCAGTAGAAAGGCAAGACATTGCAGATGGTGCAGCATGAATGGAAAGGAAAGGGAGGCGCCAGGGCTTGCAGTCATAGTGTAGATCGACAGTGTATGTGATTTTCCAGGTTTCTATTTATTTCAAGACCAACCAACCAACTGGAGACTCAAATGACCCATGAGCAGGAAAATGGCAGGGCTGGTCACCTGCTTGCATCCTGAGCCAACACCTGCCCAAGTTGATGGCTAGACTCCCTCTGATTTCAGCTGCCTACAGGGTAGGCCTTTAGTGTCAGTCCCAATATCACTGGGTTAGGAGAAGTTGCTTCCCAAAGGGAAGGGGCATTTAAATGTGGTTCATGTTGCCTTCTTTTGTTTTTGTTGTTGTCTTTTTTCTTCATTCATTCCTTCATTTCTTTTTTTGCTTTCACACTGTCTCTCTCACTCTCTGCCTCTTTAGTCTCAGGCTTTTCTGGCAGAGTATTTTACAGTTTGCAGTCAAAACATCTTAAGTGTTTCTCAATAAGTAACTGGTAGTAATTACCCCTGGCACCTGCATGCCAGATCTAGACCTTCTGCTTTTACAAGTGCAGGATGTTCAACCCTAAAACTTTTACGTGATCATTAGAGACCAGTTTTAATGTTATTCTTGCCAGTTTTCCTTCTTCAGTGTGCTGAAAGCTCACAGCTCAGTGGATTTCAGGACCAGCTTTTCAATTGCAGATTGCTATAATCGCTTGTTAAAAAAGGCAAATCTCCATGAACTCTGCTCCCAGAAATAACTTTCTAAACTACTTGGGTTTGCCAGTAATCTTCCTACAACCAGCTCCTCAGCCTTACTCATTCTCTTTGGGACTCTGACATTCTGCTTTACTTTCTAGTGTACAAAAGAGTGGCAAGTAGTTGGATGAATCAAAGGCTTACATTTATGTCTGGGACTAGAGTTCAGATCCCAGAAGTAAGTTTAAGCAGAGATGAACACCAGTTGTGAAGTTAGGATCAAGTTCTGGAGCCAAACTTCAGCAAAGTTTGGAGGGGGAAAGAGGGGTTGTCTTGGCATTAAGCCAGAACTGGGAAGTTTGAGTCTGGATTTGACCTTCTTCAACACTCTGGCATGAATGGTTTTTAGATTTAATGGCTGAGTCTACACATGCAGGCACGTGCAGTTTGTCATGGCACAAAGTGCACGTGTTGCACATTAAACTGTGCGCAGTGCTGCTAATTTGCAGCTCAGGGATGCCACAAGCCGCACATGTTGCACATTAAACTGTGTGTATATTTTGCACATTAAACTGTGTGCAGCTCTACTAATTTGCAGTGCAGGGGCAAAATTTGCCCCTGGGATTTCCAAATAGCAAAGAAAAAAAACCCAGAAAAAAAACATGGTGCAAAGCACACCAAAATAGTATGCGCTGGGACAAACATGGAGACAGGGGAGAAGGCACCCCTAGGTGTGCACTGCGGAGCACCCACACTGAGGCACACTACAGCTGGCTGAGATGAGGAGGCTCCATTACACAAACAGCACTTTGTACAGTGTGTGTTAGGCAGGGAATTTGATGGGAAACAGCATAGGGTTAAATGGTCTGTTTTTAACTGGCAGATTAACAACATGGGGCACCCAAAGATGGTGAGGTTTAGTGAAACTACTAGCATTCTGGAAAAGGGAGAAAGAAGTAAGTAGTTGGGGATCACTCTTGACTAACCTGAAATGATTCCAAGTTCAGGATCTTGGAAATATCAGAGGGGAACTAATCATAACCAAGCCAGGTGAATGGGGAACATAGAGGCAGCTGATATTCATTGCTGGGAAACATGAGGTAGTATGTATTGGAAGAGGCTCATTGAATTATTCCTGTGCATTGCAGGGTTCTAAATAAATTCAACCATGCAGAGCAGGAACCCAAAGATTTCAGTGAGAACCTCTGCCCAGTGCACAGCAGTAAGGAAAATGTTGGGGGGCTAGAAATAATGAGTTAGAGAAGAAGATTGAGAATGTTATAAGGCCAGAGTGTGAATCAGTGATCAACCTTTACCTGTATGTATAGTTCTGGCCCTCTTATCTCAGAAGAAACATAGCAGAAACAGAACCAGTTTAGAGGAAGTTGGTAACAATGACCAGAAGCAGGGGAGAGAACATGAGAGAGTAGTGTTTACTTGAGAGTAATCAGATAAAAAGGGGACATGCCCATTCTTCCCTTTCTTGCAGTGCTATGGTGGTTGGTTCTTCCTATTCCTTGATCTCTTATTCTTATTCTCTTGTGAGGTCAGCTGACCACCAACCCTGGCTTCTACCAATACAGGCAACCCCTGCCTAGCGCTCTTAATTGGTTCCTGAAAAACTGATGTTAAGTGAAAGGAGTGTTAAGCAAAACCAAAAGTATATGACGACCCAAAATAGCGACCGCAATTGTTTTTAATGACCGAAAATGGCAACCACGAGTACTATAATGAAACTTGCTGGGCACTAAGTGAAATCGGGTATCAATTTCAAATGAGAGTTATAGTGAAATAGCACTAAGTGAAAGAGCGTTAAGCAGGAGTTGCCTGTATCCACTTCCTCCACTCCTCCTCCCAGGCAGTGGAGCATCTCTGGCTGAAAGCCCAAAATAGGCTGACTTCTTCCACTACAGATTTGTACTCTCTTCCTTCAGTTTTGCCATCACCCTAGTGAAACTCCTCTGCTACTTCAGTTTAACTGGATCCCTGCAATTGCCATGTGAGCTGCCTCTTTACTACCTTTCTGCCCATTGTCAAACCCTCTCCTCCTACCTCCACTTCTCTCTCTGGCCAGGATCTCAGTGATTTCTTCCAAAATAAAACTATGACACACTGTGACATGGCTGTCCAACTCCCCCGTCAGATACAAGACTCTCACATGCCCCCTCTCTCTAGCCCTCCCCTCGTTGAACACTCTCTTATCTCCTCCTTTTCTCTCCTCTGGCTTTTTCCTCTCACATTACAAACATGCTGTCATTTCTCCTGTTAAAAGAGAGAGAGAGAAGGAAGAAGAGGGGGGAAGAGAGAGAATACACTACCCTTGATCCCACTTGCTTCTCCAGCTACTGCTCCATTTCCCACATCCCAGCATCTCTGGGCCCTTGAAAGCATTGTTTGCCATCGCTGACTGGACTTCCTCCCTTTGAGTTCCCTTCAAGACCTTCATTAAACTGGCTTCTGCCTCCTACACTCTGCTAAGACTGCTCTTGCCAATCCATGAGTTTTTCCTAGCCAGAGCTCAGATTCTTATTCTCCTTTACTTGCCCAGGTTCTCTTGAAATGTTCCATTCTGCTATTCTTCAATTCTTGTTCTCTCTTGTCTTCTGTGACTCTACTCTCTCCTGGCTCTCCTCTTTTCTGATTTTCCCTTCAGTGTGTTCATAGAGAATCCTTCTCATCCCTCCTTCATCTTCTTGTGGGTGTCCTAGAGGGCTGTGTTCTTAGCATCATCTAGAAGTGGACATTGAGCTGCTTTCTCTACACTGATGACTCATAGATCTAGCATAGGGGTAGATGACCCCCGGCACGCGTCCCAGAGTGTGGAACATGAAGGCATGTTGCTTGGCATGCATGCCACAGGGTGGACAGTGGGGACGTGGCTGGGGCTTCACTGCCACAACAAGGATCAGGCCCCTCAGAACTCCCTGCCACATACCCCTGGCATGCTAACATATTACAAGTCAAGGTTGTGGGTGTTTTTGGCATTCTACCCAAAAACATTGCTGACCCCTGATCGGACCTGTATACGTCTGTCTAGATAAAAATCTCAGGCTATGTCTGGTATCCCCTCATAAAAGATAAGCTCAAGATCAAAACAGAGCTCTTGACTGCCCCTCCCTCCATTCCACTCCATCTTCCTGCTATCTCCTTTTTTCCCTGTGGACCACATTACCAACTCACTTGTTACTCAGATTCAAATCTCTCTCTTTATCCCCACATCCTAGCTCTAATGTAAATATTTCAGAGCCTTTCTGCATAATATATCTAAGAAACAGCCTTTTCCATCTATCATCGCAACTGAAACTCTTGTCCAGACTCTGATGATCTTGGGTGGTTTTTCACCAGCCCAAAGGGACCACCCTGCTTAACAT